GCCCGCCCTCCTATGCTCGTAAACTACAACCAAGCATCAGGCTGCACCAAGACGGTATAGTTGCTGACACTTGAGAAAAGCATGAAGGGGAAGTCAAAGCCATAATCGAGGTAAAGATACGGCACCGCAACTTACTTTAGATAGTCTTGTCTACAGAGAAACATGTTGGAACGTAGAAAGAACGAGGAGCCCAAATCAGCCAACCGGCCACCACAGCAGTAGCACTTGAGACAGTTGTTGTGCCAATTCCTATCGACCGCGCTGAGCAGAGTGCGTTCCCAAATCAAATATCCACATCCAGCACAGACGTTCTGCTGACTTGGACCGAAGGAGTATGCACTCTGTGCCGGCGTGCTAATCCTCACCAAACAGGCTTCCGAGGTTGAAGTGGGCAGACAAGAGGACTCTGAGGGCTTCTCTAGGCAGTCAGCAAGCTGACCGGCGAAGGGCGGGTTCAGACCGGGAGTCGAGACTGGTGTTGTACAACATCGTTGCTGTTGTTGCTGCTGTTGTTGTAGAGTTACGGGCTCGTTGTTAGGAGGCATCGAAGGGCTACTCAGAGAGGTGCTGCAATCTGCAGACATTCCGATCTAAGGGAGGAGCAGTAAATATGAGTGCTGCCCAATTTAAACCTCTTCCCTTGGAAATCTCGTGGATCTGAGAGGCACACACAAGTATCTCGTTAAGCCAGGTGGCATGTGCATTTAACTACCTGCTCGGTGATTGGTCAGCAGTTCTGCATTCTGGTTGGATGAGCTCCCACGTGCTCTGCCACGCGTCAGCCAATCAGCAGTCTGGAAAGGCGACTGCTTCAGTGACTATTTAGCTGCAGAAATACCGCACGGAAACTGACCTCGCCATTAGAGCTGACTTGTAAGTAATAGGCTGCAAAGTAGTAAAAACTCAGGAACGAATATTACGTTTACGTCCGCCTCGAACATTTATGTCCCTTCTAATCAGATTAAAATAAGTGGTCCAACGCCTATATCCGTGTATGCGTGGCAGAATAATCAAGGCGTATAAACGTTCCTTCTAGAGGCCCACATTCGACAGAATTACTAATGAATGCAATTGC